CTTTTAGCATCTCTCATTGTTGTATTTATTCTAAACTTGGATGTTTCCCTGCATCTCTTATCTTCAGTAGCCTTCATTTTGTTTTTAAAATAGGGAACCATGGCAAGCAGAAATAATCTTAAGCTATTGTGTGAATGATGGTGAAAGTGTTTCTTTATCGTGTTACTCTGCCTTGGTGGGAAACAGAGAGCATGTTAGAAAAAAAAAATTTGTTGACAGCCAGACATAGTGTCTTGGATACCTTAGTAAGACCTCTGCCTGCCCTGTCCTGACATTTGTTTTTGTTTTTACTATATTCACATATTGCTTTTGTTTTTACTATATTAAGTAGGCAAGCCCCTCAGGGAAGGTTTTGTGATGCTGGTAAGGGACTCTTGATCTAAGGAATTGGAGCACAGGTCCAATGAATCAGTGCTGAATCCCTTCCATTCCCCAGGCTCTGCATGACCCCTATGGGGTTTGTGCCCTCATAAATATAATAATAATCATTTGATAGGAAGAATTAAATTGTACTGTATGTATTCATGTATACTCTGTTGAAGGTTCTCACAAAATAGGTTCTTCATTATGCATTATAGTAAAGTTATGTACTGGTACTCTTTTCAGTTTCATTACTTGATTTCTCCTGAGATGCAGACAGTTTTATTGTCTGTTAACAATTATCTTCATGACTTTGTCAATTGACACATTAGCTGTATTCTTTTAATTAACATGATACCAAGAAAGCACTGTCATCAGTATACTATTTGAGTTTGTTTATGTCAGTGACTTGAATGAATCTTATATAGTGCCTTCATCTTACATCTGAAGGATAAGTTTCATCTTGGCACAAATGGAAATGTTTGGCATGTTTCCTTACACCTTTTGCCTCTGTTGACCAAGTAGTAAATGGGTGCCCGGGTGTAAGCCAACTGTTGTGGGTCATATTCTGCGGAAGAGGATCAAGGACCCCTAATAGAAATAATCTAGACATTGTGGCTTTCATTGATTTTCCTTATTTATTATCCTCCAAGTTAATAATCTGAAAAAACATTCCTTCACATAATATTTGGCAGAATGATGGTGTTACTAGTTTTTCCAATTTATTTTCTATTGACATTTTTTGCTGTCAACTTGCACTTTGCAGTTTTTTATACATTTTATTATTCAGTGTGTTGAATTCCTTTTGTAAGTCACATTACCATTCCTGCGAAATTTAATTTTTATTTAAGCACTTTTCTACTTGAGAATATATATATACATATTGGTATCTCTGTGATTTTAGAAATAACACTCGGCATACTGACAGACCAAAAACTGGTGATATTTGATAATGATGGGGCAAATGCTATATAGCACAGATTTAAATAGTTTACTATCTTAAGCGTACTGTGTCATACATCTAGTGTATCCTAGAGAAAAGTTTGAATTGATTTTGGGATGTGTTGGTACCAATTTGTGAAGCCTCATTTGATCAGCTTCAAGCTGGGTACCAATTTGTGAAGCCTCATTCGATCAGCTTCAAGCTGGGTACCAATTTGTGAAGCCTCATTCGATCAGCTTCAAGCTGTCAACCCCACTAACTTGAGAATGCAACTTTTGGACATCTTCAAATTTGGGGCATTAGTTTCTGTGTGATAAATAGAGAATGGCAAATTTTCAATTTGCCATTTTTATTGAAAAAATTGGGAAATTAGTATTCATGGGATTACTTATGAATTCATCTTTTTATTGGCTTCAGATAGTCACTGCAGAAGCCACAATCTGTTCTTTTTCTTTGGCATGTATTAAAGAAGAAGAGGATGGGCTTATGGGATGTGGGGATTCCTTTATCAGGTTGCACATCAACCAAAGCACATCTAGCTGGTGGAATATCATCAAAGATGGCACAGTCCAATGATAGGGAAAATAATTTGGAATTCTTTCCTGGCTTCGTTGACCTCTGTGCAGAATAAAATAATGATACATAATACTGACAAACTAATAAGAAAGACAAATGCGCAACAGTTAGATATAAGATAAGATAAGAGATGAGATAAGATTTCGTTCGGATTTTTAACCCCGGAGGGTTAGCCACCCAGGATAACCCAAAAAAGTCAGTGCGTCATCGAGGACTGTCTAACTTATTTCCATTGGGGTCCTTAATCTTGTCCCCCAGGATGCGACCCACTCCAGTTGACTAACACTCAGGTACCTATTTGCTGCTAGGTGAACAGGACAACAGGTGTAAGGAAACGTGTCGAAATGTTTCCACCCGCTGGGAATCGAACCCAGATCCTCCGTGCGTGAAGCGGGAGCTTGAGCCACCGGGCTACCGGGCCACCTTTATTCTGAAACGTTTTGCTTACACAGTAGGCTTCTTCAGTCGAAAGCATAGGAGGCAGTAGATGCAGTGGAGATGTAAAGACGGTGTAATCAGTGCATTGCCCTCAAAGACTTAGTTTTGAGGTGGTCAGTCCCTCAGTCTGGAGGAAAGTTCTGCTTCATGGTTTCAAATATTGTTCCAGGCTATGGAGCAGAACTCTTCTCCAGGACGAGGGACTGACCACCTTAAAACTAACTCTCCGAGGGTGATAGACTGATTACATCACCTTTACTTCTCTACTGCTTCTGCTGCCTCTTCTGTATTTGACTGTAGAAGCCTACTTTGTGAGTGAAATGTTTTGGAACAAACATACCTAACTGTTGCATGTGTGTGTCTTTCTTGCTTCTGTGCAGTTTGTCACTAAAGAATAATTACTTTTGAAATTAACTAAGTAATGCCTCTTTACTGTAGTTTTTAATTGCTGTTATTTTGATCATTCTGTGTTGTTCTGATGCTTATATAATAGCTTTTCAAGTACAGTATACCTGGAGAAGATTTCAGGGGACAGTGCCCCCGTGGCCCAGTCTGTGACCAGGCCTCATGGTGGATCAGGACCTGATCAACCAGGCTGTTACTGTTGGCAGCACATAAACTGATGTATGAACCACAGCCTGGCTGATCAGGTACTGACTTTAGGTGCCTGTCCAAAGCCTTCTTGAAGACAGCCAGGGTTCTATTGGTAATCCCCCTTATGTATGCTGGGAGGCAGTTGAACAGTCCTGAGCCCCTGACACACATTGTGTTGTCTCTTATCATGCTAGTGTCACCCCTGCTTTTCATTGGGGGGATATTACATTGCCTGCCAAGTCTTTTGCTTTCATAGGGAGTGATTTTCATGTGCAGATTTGGTACTAATCCCTCTAGAATTTTCCAAGTGTATTTTTTTTTTTTTTCAACAAGTCGGCCGTCTTCCACCGAGGCAGGGTATATAATCATATATCTCTCCCACCTGCATTCCAGGGAGTACAGGTCGAGGAACTTCAACGGTCCCCCAATAATTTAGGTGTTTTATCATAATTTGTGTGTGCAGTGAAGGTTCTCTGTATATTTTCTAGGTCAGCAATTTCACCTGCCTTGAAAGGCGCTGTTAGTGTACAGCAATATTCCAGCCTAGATAGAACAAGCGACCTGAAGAGTGTCATCATAGGCTTGGCATCCCTAGTTTTGAAGGTTCTCATTATCCATCCTGTCATTTTTCTAGCAAATGCGATTGATACAATGTTGTGGTCTTTGAAAATGAGATCCTCTGATATTATCACCCTCACCCAGGTAAGTAATAAATGAACATAAAGTGTTACAGGAATAACCCAGGATTTATTTTTCAAAACAGTGGTACTGTACCTATATGGTTTGTTTACCTGAAGATGATTTGGAAGCCAGAGCCCCTGAGATCCAGTCACATATCAGGCCTATTGGTGGATCACCTGATCAACCATGTTGTTAGTGCATGCAGTCTAGTGTACATACCACAGCCTGGCTGATCAAGAACTAACTATTGGAACTTAGCAAGTTTCCTCTTGATGACTGATAGGGGTCTGGTGTAAATAATAATAATTATTTTTACGAGTACATGATACAACTTACACAGACCTAGCTGACGTAAGTGCCATACTATATAGAAAGCCCCAGATTATGCAGAGCATTTTGGGCAACTTAGATTAATTTTGTTCACAGGATGTGACCCACACCAGTCAGCTAACACCCAGGTACTTACGTACCTACTTACTGCTAGGTGAACAGGGACAGCCATTGTCTTAAGAAAACATGCCCAAATGTTTCCACCCGTACCAGATTGAACCATGGACCTCAGTGTGTGAGCTGAGTATGCTACCAACTGAGCTACGTTTGAAGCTATGTGTGAAGAGGTAGTTGGAGAGTCTTGGTGCAGTGTTTCTCAGCCAGTTTGAAAGACATTGCTGCCACTGTTTAATGAATACAAGTTCAGTTTCTTGGTTGAGAATTATTTTGTCCAGATAAATTCATGTGCGAGTTTGTTTTTAAAATATTTTCATAAATTACTTATGCAGTATCTTTTGCATAACCCATCACTTTGTTGTTATTACAATAGTATATATTACAATTACCTAGTAGAATTTGAAGGGCACATCATCATCTGGTGAGTATGTGTATAAACAAATTTGTATTGTCTATTATGTATTTTTGACAATAGCAGACTAATGTCAGTAGGAAATAACTAATTTCAATAAGTCATTACTCTTGGTAAACCACCATGTAATTTAACTAAGGAATCTACAGTACTTGGATGATAACATGTCTTTTACAATATCAGGGAGCACTGACCCTTGGTTATTCACATATATTTTCCTGAAAATCTATCATGTTACTTTGCCAGTACTAGTTTGATGATGATGGTCACAATTTGTTTAACTTTTAACCTTCATGCAAACATACGTGTATTTTTTTGTGGTAAATACCTGGTGCTGTATCACACTACTATATATGTTACTGCTTGGATTTTTGTGGAAGTTAAAAAATGAATAGTTTTTGCTTTTTTTATGGAATTAAAGTTTTTTCACGAAGGTTTATGAGATGTACAGTACTTATACTGTGGCAGAACTGGTATACTTCTCAGTTATCCTTGTGTGATCATCTCGGTATGTTAATTTTTTCCATAATATTTTTTCTCTTACTGCAGGTAAATGGTGGGGGTGAGGGTGAAGTAGTTGAATACCCCTCCTCTAATAACATCCTACCATCAGATGGCAGTGACCTCACTCAGTGGCAGCTGGATGGTGTACACTTACCCCCATTCACTCCCAATGTGGCTCCACCTTCATGGCTGCGTCTCACAATACCTGCTGAAGGTTATCGCTGTCAGTCTTGTGGAGACACGTGAGTAATCAACTTGGGGCATAGTTTTAATTAATTACTAAATTATGTAACAGGCCACAATTCATAACTAACTCACACTTTGGACAGGAAACTTTTTGGGATTCAGTTCATCTTGGACATTATCATTATGAATTTTTTAACTTTTTTCACTAAGGTGTTTGAGGAGGTAGATCATGGTAATGAATGTGGTATTATGCTCACAATCTACATAAACGACATAAGTGAGGGAATAAATAGCGACATGAGCAAGTTTGCCCATGACACCAAAATAGGCTGTCAAATTCATTCTGACAAAGACATTAGAGCACTCCAGGAAGATTTGAATAGACTGATGCAGTGGCAAGTGCAGTTTATTGTAGACAAATGCAAAGTTCTAAACATTGCATAGGAAAATAAGCTGCTCAGTTTTGGTCACCGTATTACAGAATAGATATAAATGCGCTGGAAAACATACAAAGGAGGATGACAAAGTTGATCCTGTGTATCAGAAATGTTTGCTATGAGGATAAACTGAGGACCCTGAATCTGCACTCTCTAGAAAGGCGTAGAATTAGGGGGGACATGATTGAAGTGTATAAATGAAAAACAGGAGTAAATGAAGGGAATGTAAATAGCGTGCTAAAAATATCTAGCCAAGACAGGGCTCGCAGCAACGGTTTTAGTCTGGAAAAGTTCAGATTCAGGAAGGATTTAGGAAAGCACTGTGGATGAGTGGAACAAAGTCCCGAGTACCGTCATAGAAACTAAAACGTCGTGAGGTTTTAAAAATAGGTTAGATAAATACATGAGTGGGTGTGGGTGGATGTGAGTTGGACCTGATTGGCTTGTGTTAATAGGTTTGATGCCATGCTCCTTCCTTAAGTGGATGCGACCTGACCTGACTAGGTTGGGTCATTGGCTTAAGCAGGTAGGAGACTTGGAGCTGCCTCACATGGGCCAGTAGGCCTGCTGCAGTGTTGTTTCTTTGTTATGTCTTAAGTCAAATCAAAGAGAAAAATAGGACAAGTCTGTTTATGTAAGATCAATTTTTTGAGCAGTCACTGGTGTTTATCTGGCATAAATGCATGTGAAGTTCTTCCTATGTGGATATAGTTAGCCAAACGTATACTGTCCAAACGTAAATCTACGTTTTTTCAACATTTGAAAGTATGTAAAAAAAGTAGATTTTTTTTTTATTACATTTGAAAAAATGTAAAAAAAACTTTGAACTACGTTTTTTTTTTTTTTTTCATTTGAAAATATATAAAAAAAGTAGATCTACTTTTGGAGCACTACACATATGAACGTAAATCTGCTTGGACAGTTTAAGGGTTAAAGTGATTGCCAACCAACATTTTTATATTGAAAAATGCTGCTACTGCATGGTGAGTGCTAAAACAGCTAATAGTTTGTGGAATAAGTTAGCATTTTAAATTTATTTTAAATAAAAATAAGGTAAAATATTTGAAGGTTTGAGGAGGTTCACAGTCTATATAGTCCAAAGGGTAAATTTTTACATCCAGTGAAATGTTTGGTGTTGGAAGCAGTATTGGTGGGAGGCTATATGATTGTACAAGTGAATGGCACCAAGGTTTTGAGTTTATTTTGAGGCTATGGAATATTTTTCAGTGTGTGTGTGATGAATAAGAATAATGTAAGATTGTTCAAAGTACAAATGAGCCACATAGTTGTGGTCTCACTTTTGAGGTGGCTGTTCTTTTAATTTTTATTGTGGTTAGTTAAGAGTTAAAAAAATTACTTTTCGAATTGTAATTTTGATTGGAAGTCAGGTTGTGTGACTTGTGGTTAGACTGAGAAGGAATGTCATGGCTATGATAGAAGAAAAAATTGTAGTTAATGTAGTTGTTATTTACAAATGATGTTTTATGAGCAGAAAGAATACTTTGGCTAAAAAGGTTAAAGATTCATGTATTTTGAGAGGGACATAAACAACATTGGCAAACTTAAAAAAAAAAAATAAAAAAAAAAAAAAAGCCTTGAGGAGCCTCATCAAGGACTCCTTCAAGATAAATATGCTGTACCTCACTGACTTGACAACAATATTGGATTATACAGCACTAGCATATGTATTGCCTGAGATTATGGACCTGAGTTATGAGGACAGTCTTTAAAACCCAAACCTAGCAACATGGGAGGCTCTAAGGAACAGAGGTGATGGGGTCACTATATTGAAGATACTCTGATGCAACAAGGTAAGGCACAGTATTTTAGTGTTCAGAAGGGGTGTTATCAGAGCAGAGGAACACAGATGTAAGCTAAAAAATCCATAATGAGTGAAAATAATGTACAGTAATAAGCTTGAGTGTGAAGGCAGTTGGTAAGTGTAGTACACTAGGAAGGATGGTAGTAGTTGCTGAATACTGTATATCAATGAATGAAAGTGTATACTATTTGATAAATCAAGATACTGATTTACACTAATTAATTAGTTAAAAGGTGAGGCCCAAGAATGAACTACATGAACAAAAATGAGTACATAAGTATATGCATAAATATATATTTGTGTGTTAATTGTAAATAATGATCATTTTATGGAATTATTTAAAGGTTAGGTGTAATGTAGATGTAGATTGTAACATTTCCCTGATCATACTATTAGTACTGTACTTTTTTCTATTATACACCTGTAGGAAAATAATTCCTAGGTAGTAGGTTGGTAGACAGCAACTGCCCAGGAGGTACTACTGTCCTGCCAAGTGAATGTAAAATGAAAGCCTGTAATTGTTTTATATGATGGTAGGATTGCAGGTGTCTTTTTTCTGTCTCATAAACATGCAAGATTTCAGGTACATCTTGCTACTTCTATTTACACTTAGGTCACACTACACATGCATGTACAAGCATATATATACACACCCCTCTGGGTTTTCTTCTATTTTCTTACTAGTTCATGTTCTTGTGTATTTCCTCTGATCTCCATGGGGAAGTGGAACAGAATTTTTCCTCTGTAAGCCATGCATGTCATAAGAGGCGACTAAAGTGCTGGGAGCAAGGGGCCAGTAACCCCTTATCCTTTATACATTAATAAAGTTAAAAAGAGAAACTTTTGTTTTTCTTTTATGGGTCACCTTGCCTCAGTGGGATATGGCCAGTTTGTTGAAAGAAGAAAAAGGAAGATAATTGTATTGGTTTTAGCGTAAGCAGATTACATTGTGTTACTGTCGTTTTTTTTCTCACTAGGTTCTTCATTGAAAGTTCACTTGTGCAGCATCGAGAACGACGCAGTGTGTGGATCAGTTTGGAGTGTGGACCATGTGATGCCAAGCTGACATTTTACAACCGCTGTGCCCTCAAAGGTACTATGTACTTTCTTGGTTTACTATGAAGAGAAGTGCATAAGTTCAAATAAAAATGGATTTTCAAAACTTTTATTGATAAAGTAAACAACTAATGCTGGATAAATTCCATATCTCATTGTCCGTGCCATAGTACTGTGGGTTTGGTCACTGTCAGTGCCATAGTATGTGTACTATGCCATGAGCTTAGCTCGTTCAGATAAGCTGTGAGCGGTAAATATGGGCCTAGATATGAGAGAATGGATCTGTGCAGTTAGTGTGCACCATGTAAAAAAAATCCTGCAGCATGCATTGCACGAGAAAAAACTGTGACAGTGTATTTGGTTTAAAACATCAGCTTTGTGGTGTATTTTCGTATGGTTTTAATGGTTTTATTCTTGGTTTCTTGGTCTCGTTTGATAGAATGAGAGATATATTACAGAAATAGTGATGATTTTAATTGGTTTCAGGACTGAAAATAGCTGGAAATTGAGCTCAATCTAGCAGAAATGTTCTGTTTTTGCTCATATTCAAGAGTAAACAAATCATGTCACTTGTTCAATACATGTCCATCTGGTTAATCTAGCATGCATTCATGAATGCCCTGATATTGTACAATTATTACAATATTGCATAATGGTAAATCTTCAATTTTTTTGTGTGAATAAAAATTCTTTGTGTGAATAAAAAATAAAAATGGAATTCATGTGTAAAACCTGGGAGTGTAACTAGTGAACAGTGGAAATGTTATTTTAGTGCTAGGAATGCCTGCAATTGTTTATTCTGGACCCTGTTATGAAATTGGAATATTTTAAATTTGTGTGAAATTGGCCAAATTACCAATTTCTGATTATTTTATTTGGTAGTTGAAATAGATGATTGGGCGGTTTCTTGTGCTCAGTTGATAAATTGGAGGAAATACTAGTGAAATAGCTAAGAATTTGGCCTAAAATAGGACTCAAAGTGGACAAAATTTCTGATGCATAAATATCACTGTTATAGCAAAATTCACGAAAGTATAATTTTGTCAGTTTTCCATCAGATTTTTTATTTTTTGTTTTGTTTTATTACCTTCAGAAAAAGATTCTCTACCATTTCATAAGTTTTTTTTTTTTTTTGTAAATTTTGTGACCCTAAGAGCAAGTTTGAGAGCAGGGGTTGCGACCCTGAAAGGGTTAAAGTAGTACAGTGTTTTTATGTAGATAGTGAGGCTAACAATAGGGAATTTAGGAGAGATGGGATTGTAAAAGAAGTGAATTCTAGGGTGTTGGGGATGGTGTAAATTAAAAGATTATGAATCTGATACATAGTGGGTGATATAACAATTGCTCTTTGCTGCTGACATAATTTTAGTGGGAGATTCTGAAAATAAGTTGCAAAGGCTGGTGAAGGAATTTGGAAGAGGTATGTTAAAAAGGGAAATCAAAAGTAAACATTGAAAAGAACAAGATAAGGAGAGAAAAAAAAAATTGCAGGAAATGAATGACTGGATGTCAGACTGGAGGGAGGGCGTATAGAGGAAATGAATACAGGTAGGCCCCGCTTTACAGCGTTTTGCTAATGCAATGGTTTTAAGTTATACCCATTATTCATTAATTCAGACTTCCTACAATAAAAATATTAACCACTCACTATTAGCTAAGGAAATTTTTTTTATGTAAGTAATTTATGTACTATATATGCATTTTTTAGGCCTAGCTCTATTGCATACTTAAATTATGATAATGTAACCATATTATCAGGCTTTTATATTACAGTGGTCCCTCAATAATCATCCATAATCCGTTCCTGGAAGTGGGACTATTATCGAAATGGACGATTTTCGAATCAATTTTCCCCATAAGAAATAATGTAAATCCAATTAATTCGTTCCAGACACCCAGAAGTATCAACAAATTTTTTTTTTTTACCTAAAAGATAGATTTACATGCACAAAAGAATGAACATTCAACATGACAGTTACCTTTATTGAAGGCTGTTGTTGATGAATGGAAGACAGGGAGGAGGAAAGAGGGAAGAGAGGTTATTTGGAAGGGGAATCCCCCTCCATAAGGACTAGGGCACTAATAAAATGTATAAATGAACATTGGTAATAGGGGTAGTTGATGAGTGGAACGGTCTGCCTAGTAGGGTGATCGAAGCTAAAACATTGGGTAGTTTCAAATTTAGGTTGGATAAATACACGAGTGAGAGGGGTTGGATTTGAGTCGGACTTGCACCTGAGCTTATTGCTTGGGTAGCATTTGTTCTGTTAGTGGGTTGGATTTGTGAAGGACCGGCCTAATATGGGCTAACAGGCTTATTGCAGTGTTCCTCCTTTCCAATGTTCTAAAAGCTATGGCTTGGGTAGTTTCAAATTTAGGTTGGATAAATACACGAGTGAGAGGGGTTGGATTTGAGTCGGACTTGCACCTGAGCTTATTGCTTGGGTAGCATTTGTTCTGTTAGTGGGTTGGATTTGTGAAGGACCAGCCTAGTATGGGCCAGCAGGCCTGTTGCAGTGTTCCTACTTTCTTAAGTTCTTATTTAGCATCACACTTACCAGTAGGGTGATCGAGGCTAGGACCTTGGGTAGCTTTAAGAAGAGATTGGACAAACATACGAGTTGGAGGAGCTGAGTTTGATTTGTGTCATTGGGTACGGGAGTAAATTCTTGGGTAGCTTTGGGTGGAGGTCATTTTGATAAGGACCTGCCTTGTATGGGCCAGTAGACCTGCAGTGTTCTTCCATTGTTATGGTGAACATCAAAATGGTATACAATACCGACAGGTTGTTAGGTAAGACACATATGCAACAGTTAGACAACTTTATTCTGAAACGTTTCACCTGCACAGTAGGCTTCTTCAGTCGAATACAGAAAGTAGGCAGGAACAGTAGAGATGTGAAGATGATGTAATCAGTCCATCACCCTTGAAGTCGTAGAGATAGTTCCTGACTATGGAACTGAACTTCTCCAGGCTGAGGGACTGACAACCTCAAATTCTACGACTTCAAGGGTGATGGACTGATTACATCGTCTTCACATCTCTACTGTTCCTGCCTACTTTCTGTATTCGACTGAAGAAGCCTACTGTTAGGTAAGACACATATGCAACAGTTAGGTATCTTTATTTCGAAACGTTTCGCCTACACTGTAGGCTTCTTCAGTCGAGTACAGAAAAGTTGATAGAAGCAGAAGATACTTGAAGACGATGTAATCAGTCCATCACCCTTAAAGTTTTGAGGTGGTCAGTCCCTCAGTCTGGAGAAGAGCATTGTTCCATAGTCTGAAACAATATGGAGTAGAAGTGACAGGATGGAGCCTTATATAGTGCCAGGAGGTGAGACGTAGGTCACTAGTAGAACGCAGATGTTGGGAGGTCAGGTCCCTCTCAAATCCAGCCGTTCTCACTAGTAGAGGTTGTCGAAGTTGATTTCAGGTCTGTACCAAGATACCCTTGTGTTGCAGTGTCTGACAGATTGAACATTAAAATGGTATAAAATACCGACAGGTTGTTAGGTAAGGCACATATGCAACAGTTAGGTATCTTTATTTCGAAACGTTTCGCCTACACTGTAGGCTTCTTCAGTCGAGTACAGAAAAGTTGATAGAAGCAGAAGAGACTTGAAGACGATGTAATCAGTCCATCACCCTGGACTGATTACATCGTCTTCAAGTCTCTTCTGCTTCTATCAACTTTTCTGTACTCGACTGAAGAAGCCTACAGTGTAGGCGAAACGTTTCGAAATAAAGATACCTAACTGTTGCATATGTGTCTTGCCTAACAACATTGTTATGTTCTTATTGGCTATTTGTTTGTATGAGGGAGGGATGGCAAGTTTATTGTTGGAGAATATGACACTAATATCAACTCTATGGCTTATTTATCTATCACAATTCAACTAATATGACATAATAAACAATATTAATAACATAGAAACATGGAATATACTCTAGAATGAATAAAGTAAGTCATTACGTATGTCACGAGAGGTGTTGTATTGTGTTGTTGTTGGGTATATAAGGGCCACTGAGTGTAAGCCATCCATAATGGTGGTGAAGCAGCAGCTGAGTCGGCGGTGGTTTTTGTAGCCCTATATAACTCCAACAACATTGGAGGAGTTGGTAGAATCACTGAATCACTAAAGAAGGAACCCACTACCACCGTCACTACGACCTTCTACCACTATTACAACTGTTACCACCATCACTGCTACCTTCTACCACCATCACTACTACTGTCTACCACCATCACTACTACCTTCTACCACCATCACTACTACCTTCTACCACCATTACTACCTTCTACCACCATCACTACTACCTTCTACCACCATCACTACTACCTTCTACCACCATCACTACCTTCTACCACCATCACTACTACCTTCTACCACCATCACTACTACCTTCTACCACCATCACTACTACCTTCTACCACCATCACTACCACCAAAGAAAGCCTCTAGTGCCAGCCCTTTGGTAAAGAATGTGAGAAACACATAATTTATGAAAAAGTTTGTAGAAAAATACAAAGATGGTGGTGGTAGAGTGGAAGCAGTTGTGATAGTGGTTGATGAACATAAAGGAGGATCACTGCAGCAGGCCTGTTGGCCCATGCTCGGCAGTCCTTTACAATTCATCCCACTAACGAAACATTTTCCCAACTCAGTCCTCAATGCTACCCAAGAAATAAGCTCTGATAACTCTATCCACTCATTTGGGACTTGCAAATGAGCAGATAGAGTCATCAGAGCTTATTTCTTGGGTAGCATTGAGGACTGGGTTGGGAAAATGTTTCGTTAGTGGGATGAATTGTAAAGGACCTGCCGAGCATGGGCCAACAGGCCTGCTGCAGTGATCCTCCTTTCTTATGTTCATCAACCACTATCACAACTGCTTCCACTCTACCACCACCATCTTTGTATTTTTCTACAAACTTTTTCATAAATTATGTGTTTCTCACATTCTTTACCAAAGGGTTGGCACTAGAAGCTTTATTTGGAGCCATGGTAGCTTATTTAGCACTTGCAAGCACTAA